ACTATCTCAAAAAAGAAACAGAGTAGTTATACTTTAAATTTTTATTTTAGCTTTTCAATAAATTTTTATCTTAATCAATGTTGAATAATAAACGATGACATCTAAGCTCGATAGTTCTAGCCGATCATCTTCATCGTCTCCAGTGGTACTTCATCATATCATGGACCAGCCTACAGTTCCATCTGATGGTAAGTGCACATCGTCTGTGTGCCAAACAAAGCATTTCGGTTGTTCTTGTTCTTAAGACTATCGAGCAAGAGACTATGCAAACACTTTGGCTGCAAATATACTTAAAGATGCAGCGAATGTTTCACAAGATAATCGATCAGCCAGTGCAAAAGCGAACGATGGGTCAATAACATCAGCAGTCAATGACTCATAGTAAGTCTAAAGTAACTTTCTCTCTGATATTTCTAATATATCTTGTATTTTTCCTAGTTTCAGTTTTCCAACTTCCAAGTCCTCTACGCTCGATCCTGTACCAATAACGTATAGCAATATTGCTCAGTTGGAAAAATCCGACTATTCGTTGAATCCTGAGGGAGATTTTAATAACGAAATTCAACAAAATATGCGAACTGTTATAGAAGTGTCGAAACATCCAGCGATACCAGGCCATCCTACGACACCTGTAACAGCATACACTACTGATACACTACCATCCAGTCGTAAAACATCTGTCCATTTCATAAATGATGAGGCCCCACTAGCTAATGGAGAAGATCAACATTCTTCGTCACCGCCATCGACTACACTCGATCAAACACGTCGAAGGTTATCTGAGGTTCGAGCATCAAGTGAACCGGTAATAGCATCCGATGAAAAACGATTCATTCTGCCATTAAAGTCAACCACCATTCAAGGTAATGAAAGTTCATCATCTGACGATTATTTTGGTATGCAACCAACATCACCACGTAAGGACAATTTACAGAAGACTGAGAAATCATTAGAAGATGGTAAACAACAATCATCAACTGGATCAGGTCTAAATGAATCAACACATTTTGAAACAACAACGAAACAAAGAACATTATCAGCAGCAAGCAAAAAATCTTTGCAAATTGATGCCGAGGTAAACACATTTGAACTTCTAGAATAACTCTTAGAAAAACATGTTTTTTATCAAAATGGAACACTAAAATATTTGCTGACTCATACAACACATGCAAACTGTTCAAATCAAGTGAAAGTCAATCATTTTTTACTTGAATTGTGACTTGTTTTGCTCAGCTCGGCAACACATATTAAACATACATAGGGATATTTTTCATATCGAATCTTCTTTAACTCCGTTCGCTCCAATCATATGCTTCTTAAATAAAATAGATCGATGTTTTCAACAGTTTTTCTAAATTAATAATGTATCGTATCGTAATTATCTGTTTCAAACAGTCTTTCTCAAATGCAAGCAAAAAGCACAAAAACATCTTTTTTTTCATCTTTTCCCCGACAAACAACATTTGTAAGTTTGCTGATGACTATTAATCCAATGAATTTAAAACTGAAGTATAAAATTGCGACGAAACAAAAGCGACAGAAAGTCTTTTTAACTGTTTTACCAGTGGTCTTTTTCACAATATTGTTTTAACAATTGTAGAGCACTCAACTAATCGAAAATCGAAGTATTAGTCCAAAATCTACGAATGATGTACAAAGCAGAGGCGTATTTGAGATCAGTACAAATGCTTCTCCAATTAATGTTGAAGATCGCACCAGTCCCCAACTATCGTCTACTCAACATCCGATATCGCCCGCATCCGATGATCAGACAATATATGCGCAACAAAATAACGCGTCTTCTGGTGGCTCCACTCCACAACTCAAAGAGGAACCAATAACAACAAACCTCTCGCATCCTAAGAGCGCAACCGAACAACGAAATAAAGTTCCATCACGCGCCACGAGTCCACAACAAACCAATGACGAATCTACTATTCGATCTGATCCTCAAAGCGTCGCTGACGAAGATCCGCACAAAACTCGACCTCCCACAGTTAGTCCGCAACAAGCTAGTGATGAAGTCCTCGCTACTTCTAATCGTTCTCGACCTGAGAGTGGCGTAGATAATGAAACTCTTAAAACACCATCACATGTAACAAATCCACAACAACAAGAACCAGACCGCATCTCATATGCTAGTCAACGTACAGAATTTGTCTTGGATTCAGATACGAGAGATTTCATTAAGATTGGTGAACAATTACAAGTTCCCGATATTGAATCACTAAATACCGATTCAGGTACTAATAGACTGGTGGATCCACTCCGCGGCACTACTCCTGTAGAGAAAGATGAACAGCCAGTTGACAGCGTTAAACAGCATACACGAACATCAAGTCAGGCAAATACACAACAAAAACAATCTGATAATGATCAAAGTACTCCTGCTGTTAGGCAGACAAGTCCTGGTGATGTTAGTAATCCACAACAAACAAAAACATTCGTAAGCTCAGAAAGTACGAGCAAGCACAGCATCGAAGATCGTCAATCTCCAACACCAGGTACTTCAACGCCTATTAATGATAAAAACATGCCAACAAACGGGACAATAACTCCTCGAAACGATAAAAATGAGAATGTGAGTAGAACATTGACCACCACTCAAAAACTGTTACTGTTGAATCCTGCCGATGATAGTAGTCGATTATCAGAAAGAGAGAAGCATCCAAATGGCGAAGATAGCTTAGCACAAGAACAAACTGTTAGCCAACATAGTCGAACTCCAAGTAATGCAAGCACACATCGACAACAGCTGCTGGATAATGCATCAGGCAGTCGCAGGGGAAGTAATCAAGACAAAAAAACTCATAGTAGAACACCGAGCAACCTTAGCAGTCGTGATGAACAGATAAAAACTCCAACCACACTCACAAGTCCAAAAAAAGAAACTCCTCATAGCCGAACTCTAAGTTCGATGAGTAATGAAAAAGTAATCGATGGTGATATTGTTCAAAGTTCAGAAAGAAAACAATCATTTCCTCATACCCAAAAACTTGCACCATCTGGTAGTCGGCGAACGAGCGAAATAAAAATGAAATCGAAACAAGAGGAACGCCTATCACAATCAAGTAGTCGTAAAACAAGTGTCGTTGAAACTCCAACAAGTCGGAAAACCAGTGTTGTTCAGCAACAGGATATAAGATCTCGTCCAACAATTAATCGCGACGCGACCAAATCTGACCGTACCAATCATCATACACCATCAGTCAGTTCAAGGAAAGAGCTTCCTCCTTCCGATGCAAATAACCACTCGGTTGATCAACACCAAGCAAGTCAAGCATCGTCGTCGATGGGTCATTCGCGAAAAGAACCATTAATCAAACGACATGAAAGAAAATCAACAACGAATGGTGAAGGTGGAAAAGCTTATGATGAAACTTCGGTTCAACCTTTTAGTGAGTCAAGACAGCAAAAATCATCAGTAATGGTAAATAGTATGAAGCTCGAATATAAACTAATATGAAACAGTAACTCTAACATTTCTTTATTTTTCCTATAGACTGTCAAACAGCGTCCGTCCATTACCACCGATTCTGATTATGATGCCCGAAAATTACCACAAGCACATCAACAACAAAACCAAGAAAAAAGAAGTTCTACTACGCGTAACAACCCAACGTTAGACCAAAAGCGCTTAAACAATACCCGTCAAAAGCCTATATCATCCGTTGCTCAAAAAGAAAATATTCGACAACGACCCAATCGCACACAAAATTTGGAAACACCTACTAGTGATGATGATCAACATTTACCAGCACACATCAGAGCAGTTAAAATACCACAGTTAAACTTGGATGAAATCACCGATAATCGACCACAATCACCATCTACTCAACAAATAGCTGAAAGAAATCAATTACAAGAACGGAAACAAACGAAGAAGAAAAGTGAACATGTTCTTGGAGGTAACATTAAGTTTTTGTGTAGATGAAATTGAATGCATAAAAAAAACATGTTCCCTTCTGTTTCATCGTTTTACTGTTAAAAGCGGCACAATTCACCATGAGAGTCAAATTCATCTTTGAGGAGATGTAAATGTGAATACAACAACTTTAAAAGCTCAAAATGACACTCATTTTTGAGGTTAAATTTTCCGACTGAGAAGAATGTATTCAATAGTCAGTAGTATTTTAACGCTATTTCTTGTATAGATGCTCAAAAGAAAGTAGATCATATTTTACATCTGAAAAAAAGCCGTAGTTCAAGTGCTGATAGTCATATACCATTGGCTGATGGTCATTCTGTTGGGTCAACATCTGGGAATAATTCTGGCTTTGATAATAAACGAAAAACACATCCAAAAAAACATGATGTTGCAACTGGAATCGATCGAGATTTTCAGAGATATCAACAGAAGCAAAGAAATTTATCTAGTAACCGAGGTGAGTACCAACTAGCTGTATAGAAAAACGGAGTTTGAAAGACAAATTTTCGATTTCTCCAGAATTACTTTCGACTGAAGCAGTAAGGACTATTAAACCTCGATCAGAGCGCCGTCGTACAGAGCAACTAGCAGCATCAGGTGCTGAGTCGGATACCACAGCTGTTATTCACAAAACAAGTAAAAGCTATGAAGATAATAAAACACCAGTTAATATTAATGTGACCGTTGTTGTTAGAAAAGTTGAAGGTGAAGAAGACTCACCGACAGCTGAAGTTGTAGTTGAAAAATCATCCGCAAAAACAAAATCTTCACGTGTAAAGAAAATCGAACAAACTCTAGATAACACCACACCCTTAAAACCGGCGTTCGATCTGCAAGACAACAACAAGAAGAAATCAGAAAATGAGCAACACAAGAAGGATGAATTATCACACCAACCACTATTTGATCATGTGCAAAAACCATCAAAGTCTCCTCGTGAAGAACAGCACAAGCCATCTGTCGATGAAGAAACTAAACGACCTCAATCGATACAACAAAAGCCCCATGGTGCTCTCGATTTGTACACTCATCAACATGAAGATGAGCGACATACACAATCGGATAGTGAACAATTTATCACAACGAAACAACAAAAACGCCGACGACCAAAACGCATTTCGCGGACAACTCAAACATACGAAAAAGTGTTTAAAGTCATAATGAAAGAAGAACAACAACACTTGCGATATACTAGCGATACAGAAAAACAAATACAAACACGAAAAAGTGAATTGAGACCGCGGAAAACGTTGCCCAAAAAACACTTTCCATTGTATTTATCAGCGGATACGTTTAGGTTAGTATGCATTTACTACTTTTTAACAACAATCAGCGATTTGCTCTGATGAAGTGGAATCCAAAGCTTTTTTCTCTTTTACTTGATGGCAAATGTTTACCTCTTTTACTATATGGAAATTTCCATCCAAATAGTTTTATAAAATAATGGAGTTTTTTATCATGTTTTAATGCATGTCATTCTATTCAAGCAACGGTAATGTTGAACCAATATGGATTATTTCATTTTGCTGCCAGGCATCTGCTTCAAATTGGCAAAACGTCCTCTCGCTTTTAACTGAAGATATTTCAGAAATAGTTACGTGCATTTTTTTGTTTTAAAAACAGTATTTTATATAAAAAAGCGCTTTGTTAAGTCGAGCTTGTTTGAGCTTTGCCGACCAATAAAAGAAAGAAACAAAAAGGCCACTTTCCAAAATTCCATTTCCCATTATTCCAGGAAATAAGTAATATGTAAAATTCTTTGTGTGCTTATTAGTGTGTTTATCGATTTCTTTTTAGAGTTGAAGATTTGATTCCTAGGCAATTTCATCAATCTCGACGTAGTCTATCTAAATCTTCTACTCTCATTCGTAGTTTCTCACCACAAAGTGGCAAACTGCTTATTCTTCGTCCAACATTACCGTTTCATCATTCGGATGCTGTTAATGTTCATCGTGTATGTCTACAATATGCGATTGATTTACAACCAGCTAAAAATCAACTAAGTACAATATCGGACGGAAATAAACGAAATCAAAATATGAACAATAACTCATCCTTTCCAGTATTCTCGACACATACAAAATCGGCAATAAAACGTACAGACAACAGTAAGACTTCACTACCAGCCATTGAAAATGATCAAAATACATCTCATCGTCGAAATGGTGGTGTTTAGAATGAAAGAGAGAGGTCTTTTGTATTTATCTTTTACAAACGTTATACTGTGCAAGTAAACAATAAATGCATATATATTATTTGCTATACAATAGATTTACTATATATATTATATAGTAAATAATAAAGCATATATATATGTCATGTCCTTCGTTTTTTCTGTATTGCTTTCTTTTTTGTTTTTATAAAAAAACAGAGGGAAAAATCAACTTTTTTATTATATCTATAGTGTTTTTATTTCTAAAAAATTCTAATTAAATCATTCGAAAGAGCGTCCAAAACTGAGTACGATAAATATAGTGTGGAAGTTAAGTAAAAGAATTTAGCCCGTCTTTTAATGTTTGGATCTTACGGCTATTTTCGAAATATCTTTTCGGCACCAAAACATTTCCATACGTAAAACGTTTCTTTTGCAAAAATGCTTTTCTTCCCTCTCAGGTGTTTGCAGAGTGACACACTTCCAGACGTTACTTTAGGGGAAACTAAAAGTTTGCTAAACTTCGAGTGACACATCACTAAACGCAGTTTTTGACGCTGAGGACGAATATGACATTGGGTTTTAATAAAATGGACGCTACTTTTTACGGATGGAAAGCCGGTTTTAATTAGTTGATGTCAAATCTAAATAGGTTACACGTTTAGATTTCTTCCAGTATTCCAATGTTTTTCATACTGATATAAGAATATTTACTATGTATGGTGTGTGTGTCTTTCTTATGAAGCAGAGAAGCAGAGAAGCAGACAATCAGATAATCTTATATGTTGAATAGTCCGATAATCTTTTATGTCGAATATTCAGATTTGAATATTCTTTAGGTGTAGTATGTTAAGTATTGGTAACGAGTGCATGTTTATGGGGACTGGGGGTGGGCTGTAAGTGGGCGGTGAGAGTGAGTGAAGTAATCATATTGCAATGTACTGAACGGCAGATATGTTGTAGAGAAAGAAAGTTAGGTTGGTATAAGAAAGAAGAAAAATTAAAACTGTAACGTTGAGGTATGTTTAGAATATCTTCCTTTATGGTCTAAAAATTTATTTGGAATAATTAAATTGACTATAGAAGAAATGGTGTAATCACTGAAAATGAAGAATCTAAACTGAAATAGTTCTACAGCGTCCATCTCAAATCACACTCTAAAAAAAAAGCGTATTCTCGGAAACGCTTAACGGGTTTCCGAATGAAACTATATGAAACGCTTATCCGTTTCCGAGCGCTCCTGTAAAAAGAGGATAATTTCTTTTGCTGGAGACCGATTACAAATCTGTTTGTTTTGTTTTCCTTATCTGCACTAAATTCTATGAAAAATGAGACTTGATTCAAATTTAGTAGCATTAATGCTTTATTCTGTGAAAATGAGACACATTAATGCAACTTAATTTAATTCGGTCTTTTGCATTCCTTTTTATCATGTAAGCCTACCACTGTGCTAGAAGCAAACATGTTATCTCGTACAGTTTACGTTTTAACGGAAATGTTCGGTGTTATTTAAGCGAAAAGCATAACGTAGCCATGCCATGTCGACGAAATCGCCAAACTATTGCCGATTAATCGCCATTTTTCTGCTGGATTTTCAAAGTCACAAGCAAGAAACATCGCCACTGAATCGTGCGATTTATCGCGTTTAATCGCATCGATTAATTACCATTTTGAGTCGAAGTCCCGATTAATCGGCAAAAGTTAGGCGATTCCGTCGACATGGGCCGCGGCTCTTCTCGAACGCGGCTATTCTCTGAAAACATTCCTATATACTGAATTAGGTTCGAAATATCGTACAGAATAATTGTTGCTCGAAGCCGAATTGTAGTTTTAGAACGGGAAATGCGACAAATTGGTTAAAGATAGCTATCAGGCAATTAATCTACATACATCATCTCATCTATTCGATAAGTGCAGAAATGCGTGAGGTACTTGTAAAAATAAGGACTAAATTTCAGTTTCATAAGCAAATTGATAAGCATCTTACAATGTTAGATGAGACCGACTCTTATCTCTTTTCATTTGTGTATACATAAAAGATGCTGCTTTCGTACAAAAAAAAGTGTGAAAAATAAGCTGTGAAAGTGAAAAGATTAATCTACGCCTTTGATAATATAAACACGAAAAAAGTAGTTTAATTTCGGCAAAATATGATCAAGAGAAGCCGGTACCGACCGGTAAACCGGTCAGCGGCAGATACGGACTGACTATCATGATCGTCAGCAATATCGTGTCATTTCCGCTATTGTACATACGTTTTCACAACATGATTGTGTTATAACTTTTGGATTATTCTTATAAGTTCCACGACGATGCCGATAAGAAGTGTATTCTTCAACTAATCCACAAACAATTTTAAACATCATGAAAACATTGGGACCACAAGCATGATAGGCACGAGTTAAATGACATTCTTCTACTTTATAATATTTTCCTTTGATTGTCAGTGTATCATCTTCTTTAAATATTTTACCGTCATACTCAATTTTGCATTTGGAATCAGAAGTTTCATGTTGTTTATATTTGATACCAGTTCCTCTAATCTTATATTCAATTCCATCTTTAATATTTTGTTTCCCACTACTACCATTTGAGGATCTTGAATCAATGATCCTAGTAAGTGTTAGTAAAACGAAGATGGCGGTGGTAGTAAACATGTTGGTTGAACCTTCTAGTGTGCGTGAAAAGTATTGTGTGAGCCGAATAAACTTAGAATGTAGACGTAACATACAAAGTTCAAAAATGAATTAATTTAGTGAAAGGAAAAGTTTTCCTCGTTACACCGCCTTCACATGATATCTACTTGACATCAACTAGAAAATGCACTAACTGGAAATGTCAGTTACTGTCACTTGCCGCTTGACTCTAAAATGAAAACTGCCTATTTTTTGAAATAATGTTTTGTAGCTTATTAAGATATTTAACAATCCCACGCTTATTTATAACTTCTACTTGCTTCAATAGTCACTAAAAACCTCCACCTAGACAATCTTCGTATGAAAGAAAGCTCATGAAACTAATGTTTCTGTTGTAGTAGTACAATAGCAGTATTCCATATTTTTGGCATAAAAGGATGTACCGTGCTAGTTTGGTTATTTCATCACTTGAATTTGTTTTAATAACAATCAGTTACGTACCGCAGATAGAGCGTGTCATCGGCTACAACAATATGTATAAATTGTTAATAAATTTCGGTTTCATAATAAGAAACAAAGTACAATATAATAAGGAAACCTGGAACAGCATTTAGCATCAAACTTAAATAATTCTATGGAAACGCAAAAAATCTTTAAAAAACAATCTTTTTTAGATCAAAATTTTTCCGCAGTGAGTATACTAGTACCTGTATAGCTACGCCAAATTTCAAACCAAAACTAACGGTTGGTGAGAGAACTTTTTATCTAATTGAGTGAATGGCATAGCCATTGTACCGTTCATTTCTACATGTAAAAAGAGGATAATTTCTTTTGCTGGAGACCGATTACAAATCTGTTTGTTTTGTTTTGTTTATCTGCACTAAATTCTATGAAAAATGAGACTTGATTCAAATTTAGTAGCATTAATGCTTTATTCTGTGAAAATGAGACACATTAATGCAACTTAATTTAATTCGGTCTTTTGCATACCTTTT